TTGAATAGGATTTTATAATTTTAAGGAGGAAAAACTGTCACTTTGGGTAGAAAATTTGAGCGAGATCAAAATTCCCTCCTGATGAGCGTGTGTGGGGCGAGACAGAGGGAACCCATCGCGGGCATCGTAAGTATACTACGGGTTGCAGAAGGGAGGGGACCGTAAAGGTTACGAGAACTTCACCGCAGTGCCGGAGATTCGATCATGATACGCCGTATCTAATTGAGAGTTTGCCAACAAATTCGCACAAACAGAAGAACTCGTCACAATTGCCAACAGTCGGCTACAGGTCGACATAAGGGCCAATTTCTGTAGGTCGCGTAGGCTATGGGCACAAGGTACGATAGAGGCGATGGCTGATGCCATCGTCGCAGTTAGCCTAGGTTAAAGTAAAAGAGATCTTTGGCCGCGTATGAAAATTCCCAGATGACCGAGGAAACCATCGTTGGGGTTGTCCAACGGGGGAAAACATCGCGGTCGTCAACATTTTGCAATGGTGGTAGGAAATTCGGAGGAAGTGAAAAATCGCCGCAAAGGTTGTCCCTGTAGAGGCCAATATCAGCATATTTAGAAACCAATTAATGCCAAGTGAACTACCTCAAATCCCAGGAAAATCCGTTCCGAATTCCAAAAGTTGCCTGCTTGGGAAGGAAACAAATAATAATGGGCTTATATTTTCTGAAGTTCAATAGTTGCGTAATTTGGATTTGAATGCCCCTACTGTAGATGACAAACTTATTTCAGGTGGCAGATTATTCCAAACAAAAGCATATTTGGAGGCAAAAACGAGATGTGTTAGATATGGAGCTAAGGGTTTGAGGCAGTGGTGCCGACTCTGCAGTCAGCAACCGGATAATTTTTCAGTCGTAAGCGACCAATCGTTGCCGATGCACCTCTATCTGGTACAAGTTGTGGAGTCCATAACACTGAACTGAGACTGAAAACACCGTGCACTTGTGCCATCCCTTCCCCGTCCCGAAATACTATCTTTCAACGAATTGCAGTTTTTTCTCCTGAAAACGCCAGTTCCTGACAACTACTAGCATGAACTTTGGGTGATTTAGTAGGGCTGAAATCTGCGCAAAAGTGCCATCAGTCCATACTTACACATGGAATACATGAACATGTTCGAACATTTTACGGTACACAATTTTTATGCCATTATTTTTTACTGGATTAAAGTACAATTCTTGGACGCTGGACATTGATACATATTTTATTTCTGAAAGATATTTATTAAGCTAAATGTTCACAGTTATCGCGGTAGAATTGGCAACCGGAAACCACATACCTGAGAGGTGTCGGCAATGAATTTACATGTGCAAATTAAAGGTTTTTGGTGATTTTGAAATCGCAAGTGTTAATATTTTCAAGTGGTCGACCTAGTTTGTATGTTAATCAAACGTAGGTAACAAGATCTTGCATATAGTGAAGGACTTCAAACAGAGTTCGAAATAGGAAACCTAGTGATAAAAATTTATATTCTGACAACAGCAGACATCTTCATAGGCTGCAATCAAAAGAAGGCTCTTTAATCACATATAATAAGGTTTATTTGTATAGATAAATTATTTCTATAGAAGTATCAGTATCAGTTTATTTGAGGGATATATAGGTAGATTGCCTTTGAGCTCCCTATTTGTACATGTATATCGTGGTAGCAGAAAATTGTAACTCAGTTTGTTGGCAAGGCAAATTGTCCTGAGCCATGAGGTGGTAAATAGTTGTTTAAAAATTGCTAGCAGACAATGAAAAAACTCCTAAGGATTTTTCAGGAGAAAAACTGTCGCTCTAGCAGGAGGGAAGTGTGGTGTTTAGGAGACAAAACGTCCGCTCTTTGGATGAGGGTCGAACTGGGGGAGGTTTACGAAGATCACCGGGATCATCACCAAATGTGGAATATGTTGCCCGATACTTACTTGCTGTGTCACGGTGTCCAAGAGGTGTCTTACCAATAAACCTTATTATTAAGGGGAGTAGTCTTTCGCCTTTGAGCTGACTATTCAAATCCAAAAACCGCAAAGATAATAACTTTAACACCAGTAGTTATCTACTTTGATCTTAGTAAAGCATTCGATAAAGTACCTCATAGGCGGCTCCTAGCCAAACTACAGGCTATAGGATTTCTTAGTCCTCCCACTGACTTTACCCGCTCATATCTATTTAAGCGAAAACAAATGGTCGTAGTAGGATCCTCATACTATACCGCTACTTCTATTTTGAGTGGTGTCCTTCAAGGTACCGTGCTAGGTCCTCTGTTGTTCTTGCATTACATAAATGATCTTTCATTGAGTATTAAACACTCTCAATCTTATATTCATGCGGATGATCTTAAGTGTGTTTACTCCTTCTTTAACTCTACGGCCGCGAGATACTTAGAACAAAGTCATTCAGATTTGAACGCTCTTTCTGCGTGGAGCTCCACATGCAGATGGAGTTCTCACCTTCTAAGTGCCGATACATATGCTTTGGGCCTGAAATAATTGTAAACAATTTTTCTGGCTCTAGACGGTTTTTATTCTGTTCCGTGAAAATTCATTCGAAATTCTGTTATGGTATCTATGTCCTCCATCTTACTGCACACCAACTGTAAGAATAACATTGTTTGCTTTACATTAATAGGGTCCTCAAGGGCATTTCTTTTCTGTAACCCTTAAATATACATATACATTAAACTGCCACAACATGTTATTTTTAAAGATTGCCCAATGACTGAATGTTCCAACATCAAGGACCTAGGTTTAAGCTACACCAATAAATTAGATCTTTCGCCTCACACTGATAGAATTACAGCCAAAGCTGCACAGATTTGCGGCTTTATTCCTTATAATTTCTATTTTCCTGAAATGAAATTATGACGTTATCGTATGTATGTGTTCCCAACTTAGAATACTGTTACCAATTCTTCGGTCTGATGGACGAAGATAGCCGTTCAAAAATTGAAAGAGTACAAAAGCAGTTCACACGAAAACTGCTTTATCCGACATCTTCTAGTACTTCTTATTAAAATAGATGCCAATTAAGGAAACAAAGATTTCTTTGGGACAGGAGATTGTAAGCAGGCTTTTGTCTCCTTTTTCGCACTAATAATAGTACAAATCTCCCCAAGCTTTCTGTCATTTGCCGCGTCAGCCGTCCCTACAACCCAAGACACTCGGCACTTGTTATACCTCCTCCGGAATCCTCCTCATCGAAAGGCTCCTTGATGTTTGCTTCCATTTATAGCTTTCTTTGGAATAACTTGCCAATTTAAATAAGGTCGTTAGCTAGACTGTCCGCTCTCAAACGTAGACTGCACATTTATCTTGACATTAATTTTATTAACCTTTTATTCTCCTCATGTTTTCCAAGAAGCTTTCTCCATGACTCCGAGAAAGGACCATCGGGAATCTCTGCCTCGTGTTCCTAGAGAACCTAGACGTCTCCATAAACCACCACTCAATCCAACGAAACCATACGGACGTAGTCAGTCTCAACTGCTGACGTTTCGTTGGCTACTAACCATCACCAGAATTCCTACTACTACTGTACTCATCTGTCCTATTTTCCTAAGCAGATTTTTTTCTCCTACACGCTTTTTTAAAATAGAGGCACGTTGACCTCTGTCTCCATTTTCCGTGTAGGAGTTTTTTTAACTGCCTGTATTTTTCAGTTCACCATTAATTGCAACGGATCAAAGGATAATTTCTGCTGACATTATTACAAATTTTTACGTTTATCTGCGCACATTTTCAAATTATTTTGTATTTTTACGAAACTAATTTTGTATGGACAGTGCCTTCCTGGCGCTAAAAAATATGAATTCCCAATTCCAAATTACGGATGAATACTGTAGGATTAGCGTCAGCGGTATGTGTGAGCCAGTTGCGAAATGCCGCTACTGACACAGTGTTCATTATATGTACAGCGGTTTCCCAGCAAATGAGAATCAAGTCGCAATCGTTTCCGAAAGGACCACCTCGTCATGAAGCCCGTTTCATGCTCCAACGATCCCCTA